TCAGTTCTTACTGAGTAGGTTGCTTGCATACAAGTCCTGGATAACCAGTCAAAGAACAAAATTTTTCAGGAAATTGTATATGTCAACAGTAGAGTGGGAGTAGATTCAAGTTAATTTTACTTTTTCTGGCTTTCCTCCACTCAACTGCCTCCACCAAAAACTGCCATCACTGAAATACTATTTTGGGCATTCCTAAATGTCAAGTATTTGGTGCTGGTAACAATGATAACTGTGTGAGAGGTTGTCCCATACAGCATCTTCATGAGATGAGATATGTGAATCCCAGGTAATTTCCTCTTGAGTTTAACGAGGATAGAAGCTTCAAATTTGGCCTTCAGTTATTAGGAGAGGAAGCTCCTCTTACAGATTTGTTGTAGCATGAGTCCTGCAGCCTTCTAATGCAGTTTGTCATCACTGATTTTAGTAAGAGTGGAGTGATGCTTCTTTCCCTTTTCTCATGCAAATGTAGAATCACTGTTTCAGAGGGCTATGAAGTATTTAGCCAACTCATACAAAGCAGAATATATCTAGCATGAGATTGCCCAAAACCCCATTATTAGGACTCTGTATGAAAGGTAGGAGACTGAATTTTGGGCCTGGCTGTGAATTGCAGTGGAAGGATTCAAATTTCAGTCTTTGATATCTTAGCTATCCAGTGTGGCTGTAGGTCGTAAAGTTGGATGACAACCATGTATCATCCTTTTCCTCCTCCTCGTTGTTGTCTCTGCTTTGTGACTAATGCCAAGGTTGCCCTGTGAGTCCAGTCCTTCATTTTTGGATGTCCTTGAGCGATTAGGAATCAACTGAACCTGCTTTGGTCTACACCAAGCCGAACCACCACTGTTGTAGTAGAATACATTCTGTGCACAGAAAGGTTGTCCACTGGGATATCTTGGAGCTAGAATCTTCAAAATCTTAGTATTCAAAATGCTGTTTGAAGGGAAGGGGTGATGTCTTGGGTTTGTCATTGATATCTGTATGTTTTGCTGTTCACTTGTCCTTGGTGTTTGGATTTCAGCTTTTGCCTTAGTAACATTTCTTAGTATTTTTAATGGGTAATGTTCTCTTCTAAATCCTTTCCCATATAAATAATTGTCACATTGGGTAAAACTGAACAGATGGTTTCTGCTCATATGTAGAATTCTATCAAAAACTGTTAAATAGGTTGTGATGTGAAAGTAGAGTTAGTCTGAGCTGTATTAACTGTGCAGTTAACACAAGCATTAACCAGAACACTCCATGCCAAATATCACAGTACAAATATGGCTCAAAATGGATTTTTACTTCCAGGAACAAAAATATTCTGCATAGGAGATGTTGCCATTATTGTTGAAAACTCCTCTTAGTGCAAGCATTTTTTTTTTAATACAGTATCTGCAGTAATAGAATGTTTAAAAGTAGGCCTCATCTCACTTAATTCTTGGTGTCTAAAAATAGAAAAGTGTTTCTGTACCTTCTGTGATAGCTGAGGAGAGACACATATGTGTGTTGGCCATTCATCCCACTCTAAGTCTAAGCTCCATGGGATGAACTGCTCTCCAGTGGTGAGCCACTTGACCTTTTTAAATGGCAGCAGTTGAGATGGGTCCTGTCCACAATCAGTAGGAAACAGAGGTTGTCCCATGAATGTTGTGTCCTTCAAACATGTGGCTGTCTTATGGGGGTTCCCTTATCTTTGTTACTGTTTTATTACGGTTTCCAAACTACCCATTCCATCCGTAGAACTTCCTCTAGGAGGTTCCCCGTCTGTCTCCAAGCAGTTTCTCTCTAGGTTTAAGGAATGAAGAGGAAAGGGAAATGATTGGGGTAGGGTTTTGATTTTGGTAGGTTTTTGTATTGTTTGGGGATTTTTTAATCAAAAGTGAGCTTTCTAAGTAAGACAAAGGACTTTGTGTCTCCTATGATAGATAAAGGAGAGAAAGAAAAAGCAAAGTTCATTCAGTATATTACATTAGAAACTGATACCTCAGAGACTTGGTACAAAATAAAAGTTGCTTGGCCAGTAGATTTTACTTAGCAAGGTGAAATTTCTCTTCAGAGTAGGGGTCAAATCTTTCAGGATTGTGGAGGATGTGCTAGGGAGGTAGGAACTCAAAACATTATTAGGAAAAAATGTGTTATTTCTTTGGAGTGTACCAGTGATCTGCCTTCCAGATGCTATTTACCTGTACATACACTGTCATGCTTTCTAACTACCACTTTTTTTTACATCTTATACATACATTCTTTTGGTAGACAATGGATCTTCAGGATTCTTTATTTAGTCTGTTGTGTGTGAGAGAGAAAGAAAGATGGGGAGAGAAATTCTAACCAGTAGTCAAGATGACAGTTATGAGGAAACATGAAAAGGGGCCAAAAAATAGCAGCAACTCCCAAACCGTAACTGCTTTGGGAACTGAACTTTGGCAAAATTAATTCCCTAGATTGCTCATAATGCTTTTAAGAGAGTAGTTTGGAAGGATAAGGACTTCTAAGATTGGGTATATTCCTTCATACTTCCTTACAGAATCTTTTGGGGAAATCTTTTTTGGTTTTAGAAGATGAAGTATCGTGAAAGACTGGCTTACTAACAACATACTAGAATAAACTGATGATTCATATTAGTGGGAAGTGGAGCAGTAATCATTTTAAGTGTACTGAAGGAGTTCAGTATAGCTGCTAAGGTACAAAAATATTCTAATTATAACCAGTCAGAAAACAAGGTTGCAGTAAATGGTATTTGTATCTTCAAAAATTGTGGGAGGATGATCTTGTTGAGCTCTGGGTCTCAATGCCATATGATATCTAATCAGAAGAGCTTAATATAGTTCAAAAGTAACTGGGCTGTTGGATGTATAGCATTCATTTATACAAGGAAAATACAAACAGCAAAACATAAACCTGGTTGTTGGATCCACAGCCTTATTTCAGGGGGGCCGTATTTCTACTGGTATTGGGAAAATTAGAATGAGGTAGTAATAAGTTTGTGAGGATATGTATATGTCATATTTAATAATTAATTATTTACAGGAAGCAAAGTGAGCAGTGTTTATTTTTACCACAATACAAGAACAGACATTTAATTAATGTTCAATACCCTGAACATTAATTAAAGACTGCTTCCTTATTCCTTACATCATGTCTTGCTAACCTGTGAAGCTCAGTGCCATATGATAGCTAATCTGAAGAGCTTAATAATATTCAAAAATAATGAAACTTTTGGATGGAGGCCATCCTCTATTATCTTATACAGGAAAAAGATAAACCCTCCAGCTTCAAAGACGAGTTGGTAATGGCCAACAGTGAAACTGTTGGCCTTTGCTCATTAAAAAGCTTGTGGATCAGTTGTTGCTGCTGCTGGATTAGAAGACAGAAGGGCAGACAGTCTGCTAGGAGATACTGCTTGCTGAAGAAAACACTTTTACAAGTGGTTGTATTGACCACCTTGGTTTTGCTTTCAAAGCATAAAACCTCCAGGACCAGGTGTGAAATGGCATAATACGTACTGCTTTTCTTGGACATTTGTTTGTACGTTAACTCAAATACTGCAATGGAGCTGTCATCCAAAAAGCAACTGAAGTTAGTATTACAGTTACTGGGAGATTTCTGTCATGGCAGTACTCACTGGGATTTTTCTTTTTTTTTTTAATTGGAGATGTATGTTTACTATGTGTGACTTACACTGGCATTACATGCCTCCTACAGCAGGGAGAGTGAGTGAGATTGCTTGCTTGTTTGCATATTGTGGTGAGTTAACCCTGGCTGGATGTCAGGTGCCCACCAAAGGTTCTGTATCACTCCCCTCCTCAGCTGGACAGGCAGAAGAATATATAACAGAAGGCTGGTGGGTCAAGATAAGGACAGGAGAGATCACCATCAAGGGTGAACCAGACTCAGCTTGGGGAAGTTAATTGAATTTTATTACAAATTAAGTCAGAGTAGGATAATGAGAAATAAAACCAAATGGTAAAAACACCTTACCTCCACCCTTCCCTTTTTCCCAAACTTAGCTTAACTCAAAAATTCTCTTCCTCCCCCCTCTCAGTGTTACAGGGGGGTGGGGAACGGGGGCTGCGGTCAGTTCATCACGTGTTGTCTCTGCTGCTCCTTCCTCAGAGGGAGGACTCCACACTCCTCCCCTGCTCCAGCATGTGGTCCCTCCCACGGGAGACAGTCCTCCATGAACTTATCCAGCAGACTTCCCATGGACTGCAGTTCTTCACAAACTGCTCCACCATGGGTCCTTCCCATGGAGTGCAGTCCTCCAGGAACAGACTACTCCAGTGTGGGCTACTCTCTGCATGGGGCCACAGGTCCTGCCAGGAGCCTGCTCCAGTGTGGGCTTCCCATGAGGTGACAGCTTCCTTTGGGCATCCAGCTGCCCAGGTGTGGGGTCCTCCATGGGCTGCAGGTGGATCTCTGCTCCACCATGGACTTCCATGGGCTGCAGGGGCACAGCTGCCTCACCACAGTCTACGACACAGGCTGCAGGGGAATCTCTGCTTCAGAGCCTGGAGCACCTCCTTCCCCTCCTTCTTCACTGACCTGGGTGTCTAGAGGGCTGTAGCTCTCACATACTCTCACTCCTCTCTTCTGTGGCTGCAATTGCTTCAGCACAGTAACTTTTTCCTCATTTTAAATATGTTATCCCCTGTCACTGACAGGCTCTGCCTTGGCCAGCGGCAGGTCTGTCTTGGAGCCAGCTGGCGTTGGCTCTGTCAGGCATGGGGGAAGCTTCTGGCAGCTTCTCAAGAGAAGCCACCCCTGTGGCCCCCAAAACCTTGCCCCTCAAACCCAATACAAATCAGCTCTGTGGACACTTGAACCAGGGAGAGAACACTGTGACTGTAAAATTACTAGCTGATACAAAAATGTCTTACATTAGTTTGCAGAATATAACAGATTTTTTTCTATCAGTTTGTAAGAACAACTTATATGGTCAGATTTATTGTATGAATTTGGTTTGGATCTTATGAGATTTAAATTAGCAAGCATCTTAAAGTTATCTGCATTTTTTGCAGGGTATTATAGAGAAATCGAAAGTGAAAGGAATTCCTATCATTATTGATGCAGTAAGTATTTTCCTGATTTCAGTCAGTGGTGTGACATTTAAGAATCTGTTCAGTAAATGTTCTTCTTACTGTGCTCTGCAGGATGGACTGTGGCTCATTTCCCAGCAGCCTTCTCTTATTCAAGGCTACCAGCGAGCTATTCTTACTCCAAACTATATGGAGTTCAGTAGGCTGTATGAAGCCATGGTGAGCTGTTTTCCTTTTTGATATTTAAGTTTAATCTTTTAGTCCTTAAAAATAAATAACTTACTACTGGCTTTACTATTATGTGCCATTTCTTATATGTGAGGGAAGCACTCTCTGGGTTTTTATTCCGTGGGATAATTGCCACAACAATGCATATTCTTAAACAGAGCTCTTTTTTAAAGAAGACCCATTCTCATGCAACTTTTAGCATTGCAATGGGTATAAGAAAAAATACCTGGAAAGGCTGATGATGCTGCCTTTTCCCCCCCCCATGCATATGCTGAAGTAGAGTGTGTTAGAATGTGTTGTTCTAGTAGTAAAATACGTACTGTGTATGGAATTCTTGTGTTGTAGCTTAGAGACCCCGTAGACAGTAGTGATCATCATGGATGTGTATTAAGACTCAGCCAAGCCATGGGGAACCTGACAGTTGTTCAAAAGGGAGAAAGAGATCTTATTTCAGATGGAGAGAAAGGTAAGTGAAGCCTTTTGCTTTGAGTAATGTGATTGTTTCATTTTGTTCGCTTTCAGTCGCAGTCCAGTGGTTGGACTATATAGCAATTGATTGTATTCCTCTGAAGATTGAAATGGAGGGATAGCTTCCTTTGCAGATCACCTTTAGATGATTTGTGTAAATTGATATTTTAAGAGTGCAACTCTTTTACTCATTTACTGAAAAAAGTTGCTGATTTTATTGCTCATTTAAATGGTTGTAACTTATGTTTTACATTACGCAGGTATTGAGAAATTTGTCACTTACTAATATGGTTAAAGTATACTTAATAAAATTAGCTGCCTGTCTGATGCTTTTTATGCTGATCATTTACTGTTATCAGTATAAAATTAATTCACAAGTGCCTTCATCGCATTTTGTCTGCATGGTCTTATTTCAAATACATAACAAGCAGCAGCTCTGCTTCTAATTACTTAAATGCTAATCTCTGATAAATGTTTATGCTGCTTCAGAACTGTTTTGTATATACAGTCAATTTTTCATTATTGGGAGCCATGGGAGTATTTTGTAACAGAAAAACAGATGTAATATGACAACTGGTTTGTGCAGAGCTACCTTCCACATACCCCATTAGTGCAGATACTGTTGCAGACTGTGAAACAACTGGTACCTGGAAGCAATATAGTTACACCCATGTGGTAAAGGACTTAGGTCATACAGTACCCAAGTTGCCCCACAGGAAGTCTGCTGTCATATTTGCACCCATGACAACCTTGATTTGTAGCCTTGGACAGTCTGGCCAGGCTTAAGGGAAGATGAACGCTGCCAGAGGATAAATGTCTTGACTCCAGTTTATGCCAGCTAGACAGCTTTGGAGTGCTGTAGTTGTCTTCTTTTCCTGCTTTTATGTCAACAATGTTATTTTTATACGGGAATGTTGCTTTCTTATGTATGTTGGGAAAACTGGTGAGCGCTTTAGATTGAACACATTGCCTAGTATATGTCTGCTCCCCTTTTGAGCTGTTATTCTTGAAATAAGTGTACTGCCCCTGTCCCCCCCTGTTTCTGGAGAGAAGGGTCACTGTCTCTAATGTCTCTTGTCATGCGGGATTCAAAGAAACAGGAAACAACTGAAACTCTTTACAGTTTCAATTTTGAATATTCACATGTGGCACAAATTTGGTGTATGTCTTGTGTGGTTTGGGGGTTTTTCATTGGCTTTATTTTTTTACCCCACCTTGATTTTTGTCTCTGTTGTGTTCTGATATTTTTTTCTATTAGTGAAGTGGCTTTTGATTTGAAATAAAACCAGTTCTGTGCCTTTATAGCTGTTGATTGATATCCAGCTATAGGCTGCTTTCTTGTTCTTACCTTGTTTCCATCACTGATGCTTTGTCTCCTGGATTATAGGCATTATAGGCAGCATTACTGAGCTGTAAGAAAGCAATTGTCAGGTTTAATGCAGGTTAGAATGTCTGCTACAAAAACTGTTTTTAGAGTTTGCATGACTTGCAAGAAGGTTCATGAGAATTTTTCAGGAATTATAGACTTCAGCTTCCTTTTAACAAGAATGTTCTTTATGTCTGGTCTGTCGGTCATTTTTTTAAAGCTTCTCAAATGCAAAATTATATTAAGGAGATTCTACTGTGTGCTCTGTGCCACAACATGGAATATGTTGTCATGTCACTGACCTTCAACTCTCTCCCAGGTTTTTTGGTCTTAACTTTTTTCATCTGTCTCTTCTTATGATCTGATGTAATTTTTTTCAGCTAAGACAACACGCATCTTGATTCCTGTGTGAGGGAAATCCAGATCATTGGATCAGGCCAATGTCCTCTGAGCACAAACATTATGAAAAGATCTGTGTACTCCTCTTTATTTATCATGTCATCATCCCTTTGTAGTGCTTAAGGCCTGCCTATTTTCAGGCATTTTCTGCTTGAGCTCCTGTGCTTAGCATACTGACACTTTAGTTTTCATATATCACCTCTAAACTTTCTCCTTTAGGAATACACTGCATGCATGCTTTCTGGGTAAAAAAAAAAAGGGAGTGAGGGGGAAAAAGTAAGTCTCAATGCTCTCCAGGAAAACCAGAATTTGAGAAATTGCAAACTTTACTATGTAGCTTTAGTGTTTTGTGCTTGGCTGTTGTGGAAGGAAGGCTTTTTGAGGGTGCCAAATTTTGCAGTAGGGAAGATTGACTTGGTGAATACCTTGTAAGTTGGAGTGATTGTAGTGGTTATTTTCACAGTACTTTTATTCATGAGTCTGTAGGAAATTCAGTAGACAATTTACTTCTGTTAGCTGAAGACAAAAAGGGTTACCAGGTGATTTGGTATAAGCTGGAAGTACAGGTGTTGGTGAAGGATTACTGTCAGCAAATAGCTTTGTAATCTAAGCAGAGAAGCTCAATAAAGTCTGTTTGGGAGCTGAGGCTTAATAAATTCAAAGTAAGGCAGATTTTATTAATAGACATAGAAATTAGCTACTACAGTAACATGCCAGGGACTTTGGCAGATTGCCATACTGTGAAGTGTCTGGACACCTTTGAGGTTTGTTTTTGCAGATCAGATTAGCTGGTGCAGGTGGTTCCTTACGACCTCAAAGTCAGTACCGAATGGCCTCTGTGTAAGCAGTAGTAGTCTTCTGCTATAAAGGAGGGTTTTCTGTAATTTGTCTTCATTTCAGTCATGAGCTGCCAACTGCCCTGTAAACATAATCAACAAAGATTTTAAATTAAGTTTTATATACTCTTTTTCTCTTTCCTTTTGCAATTTCACATTATAGCTTGGTCTACAGTTGTTGATTCCCTGCTCTACAAAGATGAGCTTCACCATGCTCTTGGTAGGTGATATCAGTGCCATCACTGACCAGGGTAGGAATGAGTACTCAGCCTGTGGGTAAAAGGTAAGTCAGCTTTTATTCGCTATGGCACAGCTCTCTAAGGTTATTATTTTATTATTCTTTGGAGAACTGGTCAATAATAAAGTGTGGTTATACCAGTCTTAGTTCCTAACATGTTTAAAATTTGGTTAGGTCCTTGAAGTAGAGGATTTGGATTTTGATTTTTAAACATTATAATGAGTTCCTCTGTATTTTCCCCAGCACCTTTGTTTAGCCCTCCTCCCTTCCAAGAGGCAGGCTTTATGGGTAACCATCCTGCTACTGCCTGTGACTATTTTTACCTGAAGTCAATAGCCAAATACAGTTTCTCTCCAGTTGCCCAGCTGTGACTATGGTCAAGAGAAGCAAAGAAGCGTGCAAGAGGCAATACTGATTGCTGACTGTGGGGTAAAAAGCCAACTCTTGCCATAACTCCCCAAGCAGTACTTCTAATTTCTGACACTCATCTCCCTGTACAGCTGTAAAGGAAGCTATTCAGTGCTTGTCACTCTGGGGCTCACTCACAGCTGCTGAGCAAATCTTGCCTGGATTTTTAACTGAGAGGCAGCACCTTCATCTCTAGTCCTGCTTCTGCAGAGTGAGCAAAATAGGGAGGTCATGGTTCCTGTCCATTGTCCACTGTGCACTCTACTGCCCATGCAGCCCAGCCTACTGTCTCCCTGGCACTGCTCACCTGTCATCATGATCATCCCCTGGCTCCTGTGCCTGTCCAAGAAAACTAATATAAAATTTGGGTCATTATCTTTTAACTTAAATTGCCTGGTATCTCACATTCAAGGACTTATCTAAGTTTTAAAAGTGTGATTAGGGAATATAAAAGTATAAGCACCCTTTATATAAAAGCCAACTTACATTTTCCACATCAGTTGAGTTATTTTTCCAGCCAAAGTCATTAAACTTGGTATCCCTGTCTGTATGCACTCTGGGACATGTTTCTGGGACTCCACAATCTCCAGCTATGTGCTTTTATGAAATAACTTGCAAAAGGAAAAAGATAAATTTCTTACTAGTGTAAGTATCTGTCAGGTCAGAGATGTATATTGAGATTTTACTAATAATCTCATAATAGTCTAAATCAGAATCTTGCATTTGATGGAGCAAAATGATCCTTGATAGCTACATTATTTTGCATAGAAAATTGAAATCTTAAGCCTTTTAATTAAGCTAGAATGTGTTTGTTGTGTAGGGTGGCTCATGTTAGCTGATTAATCCGGTTGGGTCGTAGCAGAAGTCAGAATGGCTGTATGTTTCATACATGGATTCCAGAGCACATCAGGGTGAGCGTAAAACTCCTTCTCTGTAAGAGGAAAGCAAGTGCAAAGAATTGTTCAGGATGTCTGAGATTCAGGAGTTAAATTTTAATCTCTAGGCTGTCTTTCAGTCTTCAGTCCCAGTAAATGTGATGTTTCACAGGCTCTTTAGCCTTCTTTATCATCATCAGTACTACGTGTTTAGCCTTAACTAGCTATCTCATATTTCACATGTTGTGTTCTAAATACAAACATAAAAGATATTAATCTCTGGGATGTTTTTTTTCACTACTGTGTGAACATGGTGAATCAGGAGCAAGCAGAGGTACATGACTTTTTATACTACTTTTGTTTTCTGAGTGTGATGTATCTAGGAGCTGACATTGTAAATGGTGCTGCCTGTGTACAGCACAAAATTTGTGCTTCCCAGTTAACTTGCAGTGCTTGAGCTCAGCAAAACTGCTACATTCTGATTTTTTTCCTTCAAAGAGAGGACAGCTATTTTCAGTTACATAACAGACTGTTGGTTTTTGTTTTGTTTTGTTTTTTAAGTTAAGCATACAATACCCATAAATAGGTCATTCTTCTGGACTTTGATATGCCAGCAGATTTTGGGCTAGGAGTTCTTTCAGCTTAAAATTTGGCAGTGGTACAGTTAAGTGTGACATTGTGGTCTGAATGCTTTCCCAAATTCTAATTTCCCATATCATATCTTCAAGGAGTGCTGAAAAGGGAGTGATGGTATCTTCTTTTTTGGCCTGAAATACATTAAACACAGAGCTACTAAATGACTTGGCCATAGTTGCCCAGGTCTGGGGCAGAGTTTTGAATTGTTTGGAGCCTAAAACTCTTGAATTTCTACTTTCCAATATTCTATCAGTATGACAGCCTGCCATTTTTTGTTTCTATTGCACTCATATTTCATTACAAATTATTTCCATGGAATTAGGTACGCAAGAAATCCATGTGACTATATGTGAGGAATGTGTTGTATTTGCTGCCTAAAGCTCTGGCAGTATTTATGTGCTGTTAACTCACTGGGACTGTGTTGAAACTATTGAATAGAACTGTGGTTGTTCTAACTCTAGCAGATCTCCTTGCCATAGCTCATGGAGGCGTTTCTTCACTCATGACATTTTTATTTCATCTAGCCTTTTCCTATGATAGTATGTGTGTGCTGCATGGATAAGTGCTGGGGAGCTGGGTAATTTTTTTTTCTACAAAGTTATTTAGCATAAAAAAGTTTTCATTAAAAAACTGACTGTTACTTATACTGAGGTGGGTTTTTTTGATTCATCACCCTGTGAAATAATGACATCAGATTTGGTTGCCCAGATCTATTAGAAAACAAAAAAAGACACCCTGTCCCAACACCCAAGCCACCTTGACCAGCACTAATTTTGTGTTTCTCTCTCTTACGGTCTGTCATTTGAACTATAGCTGAAACTCTCCATTATTTGCATCGGACTGGTGTCTGACTACCTGATCTTAAGTGACCCTGGTTGCTGCCTTTCAAAATTGACACATTGTGATGATTGTGGTGATTTTAGTCTTTATAGTTTCCTTTTTGTCCCGTGTCCAGTCATCTTGGTCTCCTCAGCTATTCCAAGAACCGTGTTTTCTAGGTTTTCTGATGTACATGTCTGTCCCTAGTTGAATGTGCTGCAGCCTCACTGAGCAATGGACCAAAAATTGCTTCATCCTCCTGTAAATACATCGTTCTGCATATCTCCAGGGAATAGAACTGCCCACCTTCTCGGCATCGTCGCTGACTGTTCAGTTATGTCTGTCTAATCGAGGTCTTATAACATTGCCACTGGTTGTCACTCCTCATTGCAACATAAGGACATCACCCCCCTGGTCCTTAAAGAACTCCTGGAGCTGACTCCACGGCAGGGCACAGACATTTAGTGGGGGATGTTGCACTGGGGGAGTAGGAAGACAGCAGGTTATTTTATTTTTCTAGGAGAAGGCTGGGAAAAGCCATCTAGAAGACTTTGTCCTATGTTGATTTGGCAATATGCCAGTTTGTCTTGATGGTAGTTGGGATTCCTTCTTTTGTTTTAAAAACTTTTAATAGTGACTGTAATTCAGAGGAATTTTTAAATCCTTTTCCCATTGCCTGTTGTAATGTTCATCATCCTTTTATTCTGAGATGTTCTTTGATCAGCTGAGCTTCTGCACAAAGAATTGCCCAAGCGTTATACTTCTCCGTCATTCAAGTGAATTTCCTGTAGTTCTGCTTCTTTGAAGGTATTCCATGGATTTGTTTTCCAGCATCTCTGTGCAGAGTACAAAGGTCTGCTTTTGTTGTTCCCTGTGAGGTAGTCTGCACATATTTGAGACTTACTTTTCTAAAACCACAAACAAAAGACCACTTTTTTTTTTTTAGCAGAGTATTATAATTGGCCTAGTTTGAGGAGAGCTTGCTTTCCTGTACAGCTCAAAAATGACTGGAAGGTTGTGGGGCTACAGAATAGTGGCAGATGGTGACATACAGCTAATAAGCAGGGGCTTGTGCTCAGCTGTCAGTCAGAAGGCCCCAAAGCTTTTGAACAGAGGATTTCCATCCTGCCTCCTGCTGGGAGTTCAAGCCCTCAAAGTGAAAATCCTGTGAGATAGCGTCTTCAAAGTAGCAGAATTAGAGGTAATTTCTCCAAAGCACTGTATTTAAAATAAAAATAAGAATAAACCACGCACCTAAAAGGGCATACCTTCTTCAGATAGCTAACTCAGAAGGGCATTTAACTTGTGAAATTTGACATTAGCTACTGCTCACTGAGAAACACATCCAGAATCTTAATTTGAGAGGGGGAGGGGGAAGGAGAGAAGAGTGATTGGGAAAATGAACTGCTGGCAACGCTGCAGTGGTGTCTGTTGTGTTCGTGGTGACTAATGAATCTTTGCCCTCTCAGTGGCAGCAAACACACACAACTGCCTGGCCTCACAAGCCCAGCAATTATTGCTGGAAGAATTGGTAGGAAATGGAAGTGAAGTACAATTCTTTGCTGTTCCAGAAATGAACTATGCTAATGGACTGGAAGGGGTTTATTGGCATTATGTAGTTTTTTACTGCTTGCTATTTAAGAAGATTTATCTGCAAGTCCTTCAGTTTTGTTCAGATTTTTCCCATGAGTTTGTAAGAGAAAAAATCCATTTAAAAAATATGGGTACTACTCCCTCTAAACCACCTGGGCTGCTCTGTTTATACACCTTGGAGAAACCCAGCCCAGGTGACCTGGGGTAAGAGGTGTTCTCCAAGCAATGTCTTGCTTTATCCTTTGCTTGTGTATTTGGTGTGCTTGGGAGCACACAAACAATTGTGTGCACAGTCCTAAACCTGAGTAGCTCTGCAGTAGCTGGCTGGAGATGCTAAGGATCACTACTTGGCCACTGATGATTCTGCCAGCTCTTCCATTCTCCTAGGAGAGGAAAATAAATTTCTCCTGGGTTTTTTTTTCAGAGCCAAGCAAGAAGAAAAGCTAAGGGTAGGTACACAAGAGAGTTTGGAGAAGGGTAGCAGAATTGATGCTGTTTTCTTTTTGTGTGGCTTAGGTGTCCTTTAGGCTTCCTGCCTGGGCTTGTTAAGAGTGGAGAACAAAGGAGTTAAATGTAGTGAAACCACTTGCATCTTCCTCATAGTTAAACCTCCACAAAGAGATCAGTTTGACCAAGGTCCTTTGTATATTTAAAATAGAAATGTGACATCTGATAACCCGACAGAGCCTATCCACAGTGACACTGCTGACAGAAACATACATGGATGCTAAGGACACTTGATTGGCAGAAAAAACAAATCTGTCTTGCATATGGTTTTTACAAAGCCTGAGGAAAAGGCTGTTTTCAGTAAAAAACCTTTGTGATGGGCATGGTAGAAGATTTGAGATTTTAGTTCTGTTTTGCGTTTGCTCTTTGTGAAATGCTTTGGTTTACATTCACAAACTCGGAAGGTCAGAGACTCTGAAGGATTGCATTTACGCGATGGCTTTGTGGAGGGACCTGGTCCAGTTCAGGTAATGGCTCATCGTGGCACATGAATCACTAAACTCATCTGTGCAGGCTTAGTGAAGTGCATAAAGTGTGTATGTTGTGTGATGTTATTTGTAAAGTATTGAAAGGTAATCAGAAAAGTATTTTTAAAAATGTTGATGCAATAATTTTTCTTTTTTAAGAATAGTGTACTTCAGTGTATGCTGCTGTCTCTCATTAGTCTGTCACCTGTTCATTGCTGTGTGCCTCAGAGGTTAATAACCCTTGCAGCTGCAGTGGTGTCATTGTAAATGGAAGGGAAAAAGCACCTGACTTTGTTTTCTGTTTGTCTGTTTGTAGTACTCGTATGCAGTCATGAAGGAAGCAGCCGAAGATGTGGTGGACAGGGGGACCTTCTTTCTGGTTCTCTTGGAGTCTTAGCACACTGGGCATTTGTTGCTGGAGCTGAAAAAACAAATGGGTATGAATATTAATAATTAACTTAATTGTTATGAGTCTGTGTTCTCCTGTGGCAACTTTTGTAGACCCGCTGTATAAATTTCCAAATGAAATCAGAGTTGTTGGTACAAAGATATCCACGTACTTTTAAAAAATGTGTGTTCTAGAGCAGTCTACATAGTAATAATTTAATAAGACAAACCCTTCAGTAATCTAACATCCCCAAGTCTGAGGCAGAAAAAGAGCATGAATCTGGATCTATTCCCGAGGACAGTTATGTATGAGATACGCGTTTTCAAAACAGCTGAATGCAGGCTGAAAGTTTGAAGAATAAGTAAGTGGTAGTCACTGGTAGTAGCATCTCTGTAATTCAAAAAACATGTCATTTGACTTTGTTTTTGTAATTTGGTGAATCCTTCTGCATTGTGCCTAAGTAATTCAGTGGGGCAGGTAAGTTGAAACTTGCAAATAAAATACTGTTTCAAAGAGTGTAACTCTTTTAAAGGCCAAACGGCAGTCCAGTTTATTCATACATAAAGCAGCCATGTAGCTGACTGTTGGCTTTTTGTTAAATTACATCAATTCCTGTCTGACTAGTTGGTCCATATAGTCATGTAGTCTTTCTGTGAAAGCAGCTGCTTTAAATGAAGTTGAAAGGAACCCTGATAAAAGCAGTCAGGGAGTTACAGTCCCTCTTCTCTATAAGTAATGAGCTATGAAAGTTTGAGGAGTGGAGATCTTTTGTACTCTTTTTGGATGCTGCATGCAGATGCACACAGTTAGATGTTCATGGGAGTTAACTAGTCTGTGTTTGTTTTACCACAAGGGCACTGCAGTAGGTGCCCCTGGAGGAATGAGGGACCAATTGAACCAGACCTTAAAATTCTGAAATCTAACATACCCAAAATGGAAGAGTTGCAGCTGTCACTAACGGAGGAATTTCGGTTTTATTCGCTAAAAGAGTGACTTCATTTTTCCTTGGGGTACAACAGAGCAGTATGAAATTGTTGGAGAGATTAGCAAAGGCAGCACATGTTCTCCAGGCTCTCCTGACTTGAACTCCTGTGGCTTTTCCAAACAGCTTGCTCAGAAACTCCTTTATTTTATAGATGAAGGAAAAGTATAATTGGCATCAGCAATACATTGTGTCTCCTGTGGTGGTGTTAAGGTGACCCTTCACAAACACCTGCTGTACCAATCCTGTCTACCTTGTGTATTTCAGGAGAGGAGGAGCTTCTTGGGTTCAGTGAGTCAGGGCATCTGCTTGCAGACTGCACTGCAGGCAGTCCAGCCAGTCTTTCCACGCTTGTGCCTGGTTCTGTCATTTCAAAACAGGTCTGTGCAGAGTGGAATTTTGAAACAAGTGTTTTAACTGCCTTGAGCCCAGGAGCCTGTGCACAGCTCTTGTTTCAGAACAGTATTTGGGCATCCAGGATTGACTCTCAGAGTGGCTTAAATACTCCTGCACCTTGATGAGTTATATGGAGTTGCCCCTTAGGTAACACCTAATTGTAAACTCATGTCCTGCTTTGACTGTGTTTTACCTCAGGATCCTTCACAAAACTCTCACTTGGCAGAGGAGTCAGTAGGTCCCTAGTGGCTCACAGGCAGCGATGCCTCAGCTGTGGCTGAACTTTGTGAGGATTTTAATCAGCCAGAACCTGGAGCACAGCACTGGCTGCTGAACTATTCTGCAGTTGCTTTCTGTTGTAAGGCAGCAAAAGTGACTCCCATGGCCCAGCCTGTGAAAAGGTGCTCTGGAGGCGGCAAGACTGTGCTGGCTTCTCCAGGGGATGTTCAGCGTTTGAGGTCTGGGGCTGGGTACGCTCTCTTAGGCCGTTTGTAAGCATGTAGGAGACATTAAGACAGTGTGCCTAATTTCTGTCGTGGGCTATGGCTGTCACTGTGCCACTTTTAAGCTGGTATCATGAGGGCTCTGGAGAAGTCACTATGGCCCTGTTAAAAATCATCTCTTGTCTGCATCCCCACATCTTTCCCCCAACCCCTGCAAGACAAAACTAAACAGAGTTACCCAGCAAATGGAGAGGAAAGGGAGTTAAAAGGCTGCCAGATAATATTTGGTCTTCTTCTGTAGGAAAGGATGAAGCATCAAATCAGTGAAACTAGACATGGATCACCTTCTTCCCCACTTCTTAAGCCTGTTTTTCCTCTTGCGTCCTTTGGCCGTGGTTTCTGAGTCAGTCACATGCTATGCCATGGATAGGGAAGTATTTGTTAAAAAAAATTCAGGCAAAGATGTTCTGCAGTGAGTCTGAGAAACAGATGTTTGCTTAAGAGGCTTTCCCAGCATTTAGGGGTACAAAGATGATGTCCACCACCTTATGGATTGCACAAGAGTGTTTGGATTCTCTTGATAATGTTGGGTTTTTTTTTTTTTTCCTTTTAGTCAAAATCCCTTTCTAGTGGCTGCATTTGGAGCTTGCTCTCTTACGAGGCAGTCTAACCACCAAGCCTTTCAAAAATTCGGACGTTCAATGACAGCCTCTGACATGGTTTCAGAAGTTGGAACAGCTTTCAGCAAACTTTATGAAACTTGAAGCCAAAGCAGCAGAGAAGAAGAAAAGGAAGAACAATGACTGCAAGAGTAATTACATGTATCGTAGAATTTACATAAGTAATGCACCCTTTCAAGTGCTGTAGCAACATTGGTATGTTAGGTAGATCTTTTTTATTTTTAAGAATAGAAAAATATGATTAATGTAGATATTTTTTAAGAGTTTGGAATACAAAAATGTTTTGGCTGAAATAAGCTGTAGTTGCAGATCTGTTATAATATAATAAAACTAAACTGAAAGTATTCCTCTGTTCTTTTTGATAGTTATTGAGCAATAACTAAAGTGCGAACAGCAAAAAAAATGCACTTGATATTTAGATAAAATTCTTCCACCAGCTCAACTGAATTTCTTGGATTGCACCAAGGTTATCATGTTGTCATTCTTAGAACCTCTGTCTAGAATTAGCTATTGCACTTCAGTTTTTTGCCATGCTAGTATATTAAGAAGCAAAAAATAAGCCTCTTTGGAAAGGGAGTGCATGAGAGTTGCTGTAGATTTTGAATGTAATTAGTTGCCTTTTCCCATTCCTGGTCCCAGAGGCAGCATTCATTTGGACAAGGCACCCCTTCCTGCAATGTCTTATTTTGTTTTTTTTTTAAAAGGTTCCCCCCCTGGCAGAATAGGATATACTGTAGGTATCTCAGCAGCAAAATTCATTAAACAGTAATTAGGCTTACCTGAAAAAAAAATTAAATTTCTGTTTCTTTATCTGGTCTTGACTCATCTGGAACTCTATGTGATAAATTTGTGAAATTATCATTTGGAGAGGTACTAGGTGGGGCAAGAAACTCAGTGATACCCAACAGAACTGTCAGACTCTCAGTGATCATGGAAGAGTAGTAAAGTGCTTTTAAAACTCCAGTTGCCTGCTGGGTTAGAGCTCAGAGAAGACCAGCACACAGGTCCATAGGTGGATAGTAATTAGCCAGCAGGAATACGAGTTGAAGGCAGCCCACAGCATGTACCTGTACTGTCGTAGCAGTGTGCAGGCAGCTGTATGCTGCAGGTTAAAGACAGGAACAGAAAAATGGTAGTTGGTGTCTGAGCTTCAAGTGCAGTACTTAGTACTTGGTACTTTTACTTTTTTAGAGCACAGAGGCTTTTTGTCTGATCTTTGCGAGACAGGACACTGTTAGGGCCACACTGATCTGGCACGTTGGCAGGGCAGGGAAGCGTTAGGTATAAAGAGGAACTTATGTGGGATTTTTGCACACTACAATTTGTTAAATTTTTGGAGATTCAGTCAAAGCTTGTAGGGACTGAACCAGTATGGAGAGGGGGACAAGTTCATGCCAAGAACATTTAAATGGGTACTGCCCTTGAGCCTCCAATCCAGCTCCAAGTGTTTATGCTCATTAAAGCACAGAACAAGCGCATAACGTGTCTGGTTATTGCAATAGATGTTACCTGTTCACTACAACCACTCCTGTGCAGGGCTCCAGCTCTAGGTTGGCACGTGGTGTCCCACAGACCAGTCAGACTGTGTTCTCATACCTTCAATAGCTGCCTGCAGAAAGCACCTGGAATCAGAAAGGCTGCTCCAAGTATTTCCCTTCAGCCCTTAGAGTTGATATTTCTGGATGCACTGTGACTACTACCTCACCCCGATGCATTTTTGTTTTTCTTTCTAAACCAGTTACCTATTTTTAAGATAGGTTTTTAAATGTTTGCTCATGTTGGTCTATGAGGGTTCACAGACTACTCTTAAGAGATGAGGTTTTAGTGTTTAACTTAAGCAGTTTTGTAAACTGTCTGCATCTTTGGGGAAACTTAAGCTACTGTTATTTTTCCCCCTAAATCTATTTGAGAAGCCTGACTACTTTTAAATTAAATCAGCAAGTTAAAACTGATTTTAAAACAGCTACTGCCTTTTTTTTTTGTATTTAGAACATCAGTGGTATTATAATCTAAATGACATTTGTAGGCAAAAATCAATTAACAGAGCTCAGTACAGATTTCAACCTGCCGTGTTGGTTTAAAATCTACACAGAAGTTGTAACTCTGTTATTCACTAATGTATACAAATTGGTACATTTTTTAAACATTCTGGAAATGTAGCAGTTTCTTTTGGTAGGAAATAAAAATAATAGCAAATTGACTGTGTGGACTTTGTTTGGTGTGTGCTGATCACATTTCCCACAACTGAGCTGCCTGCTTGCCCTTCACTCTAGTTTGCTACAACACTGCCACTAGCAGAGTACAGTTCCAGCTGTGTCAAATAAGCACCTGCCCCAGTGCTGGTGAAGAGACACCTCCATCTTTTCTAGAAGTACCAATAATGGAGAAAGGGAACAGAAAAATAGCTACATGTTTTATTCCCAACAGTAGAAAAGAAAGCCTTTATCCTTTGGAACAGACAATTTGAAAATACAATGCACAGAAGTGCCCTGTAGATGAACCCATGTTCTGCTTGGTTTTTATCTTTTCATAAACTGATTTAAAGAAAGTGTGCCCATAGGTAAGTACCAGCCCCATATCAACTCAGGCCCTAGAACACAGGTCACCTCACAGGTAAGAGAGGCCTCTGCACCTCTGCCTACAGCCATAGCAGCCAGGGACTGTTTTTAATGCAAACAATGGCAAAAGCAAAGGTAATTGAACAGGTACTAGCTAAGCATCCTAATTTTATCTTCCCAATTATGATGGAGAGATCCTGAGTGTGCTGCACTCCCAGTGCTAGAGAAATCTCAGTGTATTCTGTGCAAAAGCAAACTGCATTACCACCATATTACAGGTAAAGGTTTCACAGGACCAAACCAGCACCACTGCAATAAGGAAATACTTCAAGGCTAAAAGTGTCCCCCACTTCTCTGTCTGAGAGGAACAGAATTGTTGAACGAACAGGCATAAAACTAAGTGTTTTCACCCTCAAAGACAGGCCTAAGTTCTTGCCTCTTCCTTTGCTATATTTAATTCTCAGTGTCAGCTCAGCAGAAGAGGGTGCAAAGGCAAATCACAGAGCACTTGGAGCTGGAACATTTCTGCAGCAGAGTATGCCAGTGTCGGTGTAAGTCAAGCTGCTTCCTTGCTGCCCTGCACTCTGGATGCTTCTGCCATGTGCACTTCAAGGCCTGTATTTATTTACCCAATGGCAGTGCCAACAGTTTTGCTCAGATTATTGTTGTTAGCCATTCTATTCCACAGACTTTATTTGGAAAGAATTAATATTTACAACGGTTGCCAAAGCAGCTGAAATAAAAAACAAGTCCAAAGATGAGGGATCAGCTTTGTTTCTCAGTCTGCTGCTCTGTCTGCCCTCCTTCCACAATTTCCCAGGTTGAAACAGCAGCTCTGTCCTGTAAGAAAAAGTATCCAGGTTAGTCCCAGCATGTGGAGGCACAGGTTTTTAAACAAGATTCATACAGCAAAGCTATTAATCCAGTTAGTTAGGCAAAGGAGGTGGTGATACCATCTCGGAGGAATGCCACTGCTACTAATAATGCTCAGAGCTGTAAAACAAACACAGATAATCCTTCCCAGCTAAGAAGGAAGAAACACAATCGAAATGTCACCTCTTCAGTGTGGGATGCTGCAGTGGGGTGTAGACTCTCACATGAGTAGTTTCTGCTCAACTCCTGCAATTGCATTTTCATGTTTGAATGGCTCATGTACATGGAAAACACTTATGGTCAATACATGAGAATATGTATTGATCGCCTTCTGAACTTGGGGATAGTGTAATACTGTCATATTTTTGAAAGACAGTACTGCAGTCAAACGGAATATTTCTGACTATTTAGATCCAGCTGTTTGCAGTGGTTGAAAAGTTAATCTGAATATGAGCTCTGACTCATGAGAGATGCTGGGATACAATGCTGAATTTTTTTTACATTAAAGTGAAAACTATTTTTGATGCATAAATACACAATCACTACATTTCACTTAGCGGCGCAGCTGAGCTTGCGTTTCAAGCATGCTATAATGACATGAAAAGACAAATGGGTATTTTTTTAATCAGTTTGATGCAAGTTAGGTAACTTCAGCCAACATCATCTACATCAAGCAGCCTGAGAGAAGAAACAAACTTAGAATCTGAAGGAGAAATTACCCTTTTTACAAAGCTGATTTTTAAGGAGACTGAGTTGGTTCTCAAGCCACCCCCTCCCTGCCCTCCCTCAAAACAGGGGTGTTCCTAGTCTGCTCTGCATGTAGATGAGGCTTGTCCGCTTCATCTGTTCTGCTGCTTTTCCTCCTGCACATGGACTTTAGAAGTTGCTGGCTTACTTGAGCCTCACGTGACAGACTGGAACCTGTTAGCAGAGGCATTGCTGCGTGCATGTCATCAGGCTCAAAAGTTTTGTGGCAATGAGAGGCTGGGTAGCACTTCTAGGCAAGCAGCACCCCCCTGGTGGGCTCTGTTTTACCAGGGCATCTTTGTAACAGCCGACTCAAGACAAGCAGACTCCTGCTGAGTAGGAAGGTGCGGAGAGCCCTGCTTTGGGTAAGGCCATGTCCTGTTGCATGTGTGCTCTGGTGAGCCTGTGTCAGGAACTGCAGAGCTGCATGTTCACAGGACTCTTTAGGATTTGCAAAAACAAGATGTGAGCAACCTTCACAGCACACCTTTGGATACTTCCATGGTATCAGCAAAAAAAGCAGGACTTCAGCTTTGGATATGTGCTGTGTGTGCTCATCTGTGCACCTGTGCTTTGTCTTCTGGAGCAATCTCTTCTAGGAGGAGCAAGAGACATTATGCTGAGCTTCAGGTTATTAAAAACATTTTTTAAATAAATGGAATGGTCTGAATCCTGGTTCTGGTCAATTTCTGTGAAGTTTTCACATGTAAATCCCTTTAAAAACAAAGCAAAACAAATCTGCACAAGGGTGGAAATGGGGCTGTGGCTGTTTTGCCAATAGATCAAAAGGCAGGCTTCTTCTCCAAGACTTTGTCTCAGCACAGTTGTTTGGATTTTCAAACTTGCTTGACAGATGAGTGGAGTGAGGATTTACAAACAAGTTAAAGGAAGCAGATACTCCAGCTTCTCAGAGTATTCCTTTGCTTTCACAGCTGTAGCTCACCACCACAGTGCTTCGGCGCTCACCCAGTTTGTATCGGCACGCTCGCTTTCATCCGAGATCCTTAGACAGTGACCACGCTCCACAGCTGTTTTTAACAGGTGTGCTGACAAGTGACAGCTCTCACGTTGGGCAACCAAAGCAGATGTATATTGTCCCTCCCTGATGTCATTGTGCTTTATAGCCCCACCAGCAAAAAGATGGAAGCAGGCTAGGCACGCTCCCAAGCGAGGGAAAAATAAGCAGCATAAACTGGAGGGAAGGAAAAAGACACTGGAGAGAATACAAGGATTTGTCTGCACGTAAGGAGCAACACTGACCAACCAATGGGTAGAGCAGAGGTGAGAAGGGCAGTGAACAAGAGGAATTGGAAGAAGCAGGGCCATTACAGAAGTAACACAGCTCCTTGAAACCAGGAGAAGGCAGTAACACAATGGATGGGCTTCTCTTGAGCAGGAGGTGCCACTGAGGTAAAGGAAATGACGAGTGGCATTAGGTGTAGGCTAAAAGTAGAAAGCAGGATGGAGAGAAGAGTGGTACAGGAATCAGCAAAGTACTTGTGGCTCAGGAACAGTTGGGAATGGAGCTGCTGAAGATGGAAGAGGCTTTCTCATGAGGACTTATTTTTGGTGGGGAATTTGGAGAGGGTAGAAGGAAGGCGTTATTTTTATAAGTCATCTCAGTTTACTTCCCAGTTCCTTTGCAATCTTTTTTAAGATTGCACACATTACTCATACCTTTCCTTCTGGATTGAACTTGGGCAACTTAGAGATTTCTGAATATTAGATTTTCAATGGCTAAACAGCACATCCTTAGTAACTGCAGAAGTAGGTACAGCTTGCATGGAGACACGAGGCTGAGGGGGAGCAGAAGAGAAGGCAGCAGTACAGCCAGACAAGGGCTTGACTTCCACCTCCTGCTACTGCAGTCACACAGGGAGCAAGAAACAACACTGCAAGCTACTGGAGGGGAACAAAGGGCAAAAATAAGCATTCTCTTAAAAAGTGATTAACAGTCTCTCAAAGAGGGTTACTGTCTTCTACCTTTAGCTGGATTCCAAAGGCAGCAAGGTCTTCACGAAGACTGTCACAAGCCTCCAGGAGGGGTTTTCTCTCCCGCATTAACTGCTTCCTCTTTTCCTTCTGCTCTTGTTTGGGTTCATTAACTCTTGGACCCTCCTCCATTGGCACAGCATCTGCTGCTTCTGGCAGAGCCAGCGCATAGTGACGGACCCTTGTGCGGAACCTCACAAGCTCGTCAAGGACATTAGAGAGCACTGCAGAGTTGTCTCCTCCCACAGTCACCTAGAAATCAAACAGCGTGCTTTACAAACATCTGAGAATGGTATTTAAAAAAATCAACCCCAACTCAGCAGAACACACTGAGGCCTCATCACCTCTCTTGGTTGTACATCTTCCATATATTGGTAGGATTAAAATGTCACCATCTCACTAATGCTGGACAAAAAGTTACAGTGGAGTCACATTTGGAAGTAGTTCAGTGTATTCCTACACAGGAAAGCATCTATGTTGGAGGTCAGCAGAGTGCTCTGACCTGAACATAACACACTGCATAACCTGAGTGTGGATCTCGTCACCACAGAAAACCTCCAAGATGCCAAAAAGTATGCATAAGTTAAAACGGGGTTAGACAAATTAATGGAAGAAAGACCTGGCAACAGGAATCCAATACAGCAAGGGAAGTCCAGCCACTAGCTCAGACAGCTCCTTGGCTGTAAAAGTCCAAAGACCTCGCAAATGCATCAGCCTTTTACTCTGCCTTTGAGCTCCAGGCCTTCTTCAGGAAATACAAACCAGGAAAAGTAAGTACTTTCACTTTAAGTCTCTAGTCTATCCTTTCTCCTTGCATCAACAGAAAAATCTCCCCAAATCCACAGAACTTTCACCTGATCCACCTTGCCCAAAGTTACAGCTACTCAACCCAACAGAGCAGCAGCCATTGCACACGGTGAGTGGGCGTTTTCTGGCTGTAGCCAAGCCCCCTCCTTCTCTCAGCCAGCTCCGAGCTTCCTCAGCCCCCACTGGCTTGGTAGAAGTCTCGCTGGTCAATGCCTCAAGAAGA